ATAGTCCCTTTTGTTCAGATTCATATTTTTTACCATCATCAACATTCCATATGTAAACTCAGAAGACTCATATAAGTTCACTGGTGGTTTTGGATAGTAAATAAAATGGCTATATTTGTGTTGTAGACAGTCCGACCCCTGGTTCCTATCACCACCACTATAAAGCCGTAAGTTTCTCCACAATGAACTATTTCACACCAAACCACTCTTTGTTTACATCTCAGTGACTGAATAATTCAGATAATTTAAAAATTTTGTGGAATTCCCCTTTAGGAACAAGTTTTCATTGTTTTTCATTGTGTAATTACTCAATAATAAGCCTTAGGAAATAGTACAAACCTAAGAGGTTACACTATTTTTGATAAGGGTTTTTCTCTGATATTTTCAGTGTGAGATTTTTTGACACAGAGGCATTTTATGGCCTCTTTTTGCCCATTTTTACCAAGGGTGCCAATGATTATGGAGCTGACTGTATTTCACTCACACCCTCACATACTGGCAAAGCGTGACTCTTCTGATAGGATGAAATTTACAGCGTGTGAGATCATCCACTACTATTATGTTGGTAGAATAATAGCCAGAAGGGCTTTTCCTTTCCTCATAACCAGCTTTGATTTTATGCTTCGGACTAATTAATAATGATTAACTTATATAAAATATGTAGGTTGTGTTATTGGAAGGCTAAATATTTCAGTTAATTTAAAGGAGAGTATATCTGTGTATTGATTCATTTGCTCAATATTTTTTGCTTTTTATTTGTATTGTTTATAATGTTAATTTGTGTGAATAGAGTTTATGTGAAGGACAGAGTTTATATTTTTTATCTTAGATTTTTTTATCTTTAGTATTATATATATTGTCTATACAGTCATACATATCAAACTGGAGCCTTGTTAAGTAATTAGCTGGTTAATTACTTTGTTAATTCTTTTCTTGTTAGTTCTTTTCTTGACTGCTTTGCTGTCCCTTTGCTGCTGTACCACTGTGAATTTCCCTGTTGTGGGACTAATAAAGGATCGTATATCATTTTTAAATTCTAATTTTTTTTTAAAGTGAACAGCAGGTTAGGGCCAGTGGGGTTTGGCTCTACAGTGTGGCTCTATGATCTTTCATCTGCATTAATAAGTATATGCAGTACATTGTTTTGTAGCCTTTATAGAAAAAGCTGTATCATCAGACAGCAGCAGACAGGACTTCATGGAATGCTGAGCCTTTCTCAGCCTTTCAGTACACAAAGTACTTGCAGTTGTGGGAAAAGTAGCTGTTAGTAATTTACTTATTTTGATTTTGCACAGTGGTGATTTGTGCTGTTGGAATTTGCACACACACATTTGCTTAAATGAGGAATTATTTAGATAAATGTTTATACAGTCAAAAATCCAGTCAGAGGCAAACTACAACCCCATTTCCAAAAATGTTGGGACGCTGTGCAGAATGTAAATAAAAACAATGCAATGATGGGCAAATCATGTAAACGCTATATTTAAATGGAAATACTACAAAGACAACATATCAAATGTTGAAACTGAGAAATTTTATTGTTTTTGAAAAATATATGCCCATTTTGAATTTGATGCCAACAACATGTTCCAAAAAAGTTGGGACAATGGCCTGTTTACCACTGTGCTGCATCACCTCTTCTTTTTACAACACTCTGTAAGTGTTTGGGAACTGAGGAGAGACTGCTGTAGTTTTAAAAGTAAAATGTTTTCCTGTTCTTGTTTGTTTGATATTTTTCATTTTGTAATGTGCCAAATGTTATCAGTGGGTGACAGATCTGGACTGCAGGCAGGCCAGTTTAGCACCCGGACTCTTTTAATATGGAGCAATGCTGCTGTAATACATGCAGAATGTGGTTTTACATTGTCTTGCTGAAATAATCAAGGCCTTCCCTGAAAAAGATGTCATCTGGATGGCAGCATATGTTGCCAAAACATTTATGTATCATTCAGCTTTAATGGTGCCTTCACAGATGTGCACGTCACCCATGCCAAGCGCACTAATGCACCCCTATACCATCATGAATACAGACTTTAGAAATGTGTGCTGATAACAAGCTGAGTGGTCTTTATCCCAGAGGACACTGTCCATGATTTTCAAAAAGAATTTCAAATTTTGATTTGTCGGACCACAGAACACTTTTCCGCTTCCCCTCAGTGCATTTTAAATGAGGTCGGGCCCAGAGAAGGAGGCAGCATTTCTGGATCCCGTTTATGTACAGTTTCTTCTTGGCCTGGTAGAGTTTTTGCTTGCATTTATGGTTGGAGTAATGAACTGTGTTTACAGACAGTGGTTTTCAGAAGTTTCAGTGATTTCCACTGCAGAATCATGTTTTTTTCAAAAAACAATAAAATATCTCAGTTTCAACATTTGATATGTTGTCTTTGTACTATTTAAACCCTATATTACATATAGGGTTTAAATGATTTACACATCATTGCATTTTGTTTTTATTTACATTTTGCACAGTGTCCCAACTTTTTTGGAAATGTGGTTGTATTTTAATAATAATTAATTCTTCATATATCATCATCATGATATCCAGCAGCTTTACTGAACGTCAGATGGGACTGTTAGCCGGGCCACTGATTTGTGTGCATGTTCAGAAAGTACGGGGTGTTTTGTTCTGAGTAAATCTTGTTGTGTGTGTGTCCTTGATGACTTTTTTGAAGGCAAAAAATCTGTGGAATCTGTCATTATGTGTGGGGTCTCTCCCATTTTCAACATCGGTTAGGATTTTAAAAGTTCTGCAGTGTGAGCCAGGCATAAGATAATAAACTTAGCCCACAGTTCAATTTACAGCATTAGGGTCTAGTAGTGGGTGATATCCGTTCATCCACTACAGTGGTTTGAATTCTTCCTCCGGTTTGAGTGTTGTCATAGCCATTATACTGAGAAGCCACATACAAATGCAAATGATGCAGCGTATAAACAGCTTACTAGCGATACTAGAGCTGTGAGGCAGGAGGAGTCCTGGAGTGAGGTGTTGACTTGTGCTGATTGTTTACAAACCTTGGTGTTCAAACAATGCAATTGCATTAGATGGCATAAATAAAGGTGCACTATACGATTCTGGAGAACGACTGTTGATATTTGAACTCAACAGCAAAGCAAACAAACCCCTCTCTTCAGTGCTCCTTCAGAAACTCCACCCCCCAAATTCGTGGACACGCATTGTCCAGGCCAACATGGCTTTTTAGATCTTTGCAGCCATAAAACCCTTCACAAACCTTACACGCAAATACCAGGATAGAACGTTAGAGTGAACAACCACAAAGCAAGTAGTGGAGCTCAGTAGTGGGTTAGCAAACTGTCGCCACGGACAGTTGTTAGTGTTAGCGAAGCTAACCAGTTGCTATTATAAACATTTGCAAACAAGACAAAACAATACTGACCTATTAATTCTGTGAAACAGCAAAAATAAGTTAGGTTTCCAGACAGAAGCGACCTCCTCATCCCTTTTCATGCATTTTAACTCTCAATGAAGCTGAAGTCAGCTTCTTTTTCACCAGGTTTTTTCCCACTCCGCCTTAAATTGTGCATGCACGCTGTGTGGGCAGTCATTGGGGCGGGCAAAACAAAACTTGGGGAGGGCTGACGTGTTCACAGGGCGGGACTAACACGCACACACCCATCCCGACTATGAAAACAAAAAAAAGGGGGTGTGACTTCATTCTCTTCTCACAACGCTGTTACTCCACTATGTCTTTGCATTGAAAATACTTGTTTGCTGCTATGTTTAAAATGTCGAATGCATCACCTTTAATAGAAAGTTCATTTGTCACAGTGCACACTGTCACAGTTTAGCATAGCGGTATCACAATGTCACAATGCACTATTGCACCTGTTCTGGCCAGTTACAGTTTTTTAGCTAGGAAAACAAAATTGGTGCCTGACTAGCATATGCATGTTAGCTGACGTTACTTCAGCTGAAAATATGCAGTACATCTAGTTTATACTGACATTGCTGCTCAGAATTTAAAGGGCCCATATCCTGGAATTTTAATGTCCCTCAAAGATCCACTTATGATTCTGTGCAATTTTATGTACCAAATACAATTCATTTTTATGTGACCATTTTCCACACCTCTCTTTAACCCTTAGAATTAAACAGGCTATTTTTGTTAGCCCAGGCTGAACCGCTCCTTATAGCTTCAGCATGAGTGGGCAGGGTTAAACTGCTTTAGTCTCAGAGGGTGGATATATGTAAACATCTTGGATTTGTGACATCACAAAAACAGTGAATTCCATATATATAGATTGGGGAGTGTATGGTACATTTTAGTAGTTAGTACATTTACGGCATTTGGCAGACACTCTTATGCAGAGCGACTTACAATTTGATAATTTCACACAGGTAGGTGAAGGCAGTGTTAAGAGTCTTGCCCAAGGACTCTTATTGGTATTGGGTGCCTGCCAAGGGGGGGGTTTGAACCCTAGTCTACAGTGTAGAAGGCAGAGGTGTTACCCACTACACTAAACCAACCACACAACATTTTAAAACTTGACCAGTGTTTACATACTCCATCAAATCCTTTTCATTTCAAAAAGGCAGGGAAATGTTATTGTTTAGCGGTTTAGGCCCTTTACTATTTAGACCCTTTATCTAACAGAACCCCAAAATTAAACTGGTGAAAGCAGTGTACCTTCTTGTGTACACCCAGTCATCAATGGAATGCAAAATCCAGATGGTGATGTTGTTACATTTTTCTGTTATTTCGTTCACTTTAAATTCTTGACCATCTTTTCTTTCTTCTCTTTTATCTTATCTGTTTTCATGTCTTCACACTTAACTGATGAAACCTTGCTGCATTATTACTGCATTTCTGTAAGTGAGTTTCACTCTGTTTCACACACACAGGCTTGAGTGGAGGATGACAGTGATGCGTACCATTTCCCACGAGGCACCCGGCCTCGCGGTGACCGCTGCGGCCTCTTTGGGGCAGGCGTGAGCGGCCCCTCGTCTGGCTTTGGCGGGATTATGCTGACGGCTGGCCGGCATGACTCCGCTGGACCTGTGGCTCTCGCGCTCCATCCCCATGTGCCTCCTGCTGCACAGTCTGGTGCTCATGGCCATCTGCTTCCCCTCGGCCAGCATGTGTCCCAAGGGCTGCGCCTGTCAGCGGGCCGACTACTCCCTGCACGGCCTCAACGTTACCTGCAGCCTGTCCCGCCTGAGGGAGATCCCACCGGACCTTCCTCCAGACACGGTGCTGCTGCAGCTGGACCGCAATCACATCCAGGCAGTGCCAGACCGCGCCTTCCAAGGTCTGAGGATGCTGCGGAGGCTCAACCTGTCCCATAACGCAGTGGAAACCCTTGGAGAGGGTGCCTTCCTTGGCTTGGAGGCCTCTCTAGAGGAGCTGGACCTGTCACACAACCGCATCACCAGCGTGCACAAGGACGCTTTCGCGCGGCTCAAGGCCCGTGTGCTGGTGGACGACAACCCGTGGCACTGCGACTGCGCCCTGCAGCAGGCGCTAGGTGGCATGGCACACAACCACGAGGCGGCAGCACGTGTCCACTGCCGCAGCTCGGAGCTGCGGGACCAGGAGGGCCGACCATTTTTGGCCGTGGACGCCGACCTGTGCAACCTGGCCCGGCGCACCACCGACTACGCCATGCTGGTGACCATGTTCGGCTGGTTCGCCATGGTCATCTCCTACGTGGTGTACTACGTGAGGCAGAACCAGGAGGACGCACGGCGCCACCTGGAGTACCTCAAGTCGCTGCCCAGCAAGCCTAAGAAACCTGATGAGCCTGAGGACATCAGCACCGTGGTTTGACCCTGACAGAACAAAACACGCAAGGGGGCCTGTCGAGGCACTAGCTGTTTACGCCACAAAGGCCTTCGGTGATCGAGGGAGAAAATTCCGAACGAAAACAGGAGCAGATAGATTACTGAGAGCAATTTAGTCTCAAGCACTACTCGAGCTGCATTAATTTTACCAGGGGAGGTTCTATGACATAATTTGTGCTGGATTTGACTGGCCAATCCATGCTGGATCAAATGTCTGTGTGATTTCCACAAATTCTCACAGACCAACCGAACGAGAGCATTACACTATAAGCGCCACACTCAATAACAATAACAACACGGAGCATTTTAGCAGGGATTGTTTTTATTATTGTGAGGGATTGGAGCAGAACTACTGTGCAATCCAATCCGCAGTTATGATTGTCAAATCTAAGAACATTGCAGATTCATACCAGATTAAAATCAAGGATCTCTTCGGCAATCCCTCAAATTACAGTGCCTCTCTGGGTAAAACTAATCCAACTCAAATAGGGCTTTACTCAAGCTAAGACACTGACCATAGATGTAGTCTACTACTCAACATGTGTCTTCTCTTTTCCCAGTCGTGCATTACTGTCGCATAGTATTTAGGTCAATTTGTAATACTATTCCTAACTATGTGTCCACAAGAGTTTCTTGTGACTTCAACCGTGGCATTAGTACAATAACCACTAGATCTTGCAAAGGGAGACAATGTAAATGTTCTGCTTCTGACTGCATTGGAACGTGTGATTTTATGTTCCGGCTGTTAAAATCCAATTAACACAAACTACCCATGTCTATAAAGAGTTGATTAACATATTTATGACCAATACAGGTATTTTGGGAATTCAAATCTCAGGTGTAAATGTTGATATAGATTTCAGTGACTTGTAAAACCCCTAAAAATGTTTTGTTTTTCTGAAGTTTTCTAAGATATTTATTGAGTGGCCTCTTCATACACAGTATCGTTCAGGATGTGGTGTCTAAAGTACACGTCTAAAATCATTCGATTACCTTTAAACTCTACAGACTTTATTAGCTGTTTGATAATCACAAAAGAAAGGGCGTAGACGTAGTGCTCACGAACCGGCAAGGGACGTTTTTTCCGACATCCTTGGATTTTTGTTTCGCTTATCTCTGTTACCTCACTGTTGTTAATGTGTGGTTGTTGAATAGTGTAGCCCTGAAATGTCAGTGTGTTGAGTTCTGTGTGATCCAGACTGCAGTAGCAGCAGAGCACAGTCAATATTTTCTTCGCGGTTGGTTATGTCAAGCAGTTGAGCCCCTTGTTATTTTCCATAACTCACTCTTGGCTATAATATCCCCCCAATGTGCAGCAGCCATCATCAACCCCACACTGGCCATCAATATCACTAACAAAGCAGTTGAAATGACTAATGCGTTTCTGCGAAAGGCAATTCATGGTGAAGTCTTATTCTCGTGCCACATTACAGCTCGGCCTCCGATTTCCAAATCGCTCCTTCCGTTGCAGAGGCGAGAGACGTATGGTGATTAATTTGGCGGATGCAGATGGCCCTGCTGGACCTCACAAATCACATTTCAGAATGGCTAGTTACCTGTGTGCGATCTCTCACTGGGCATATAGTAATCTGACCAGCCCGTATGCGAACTGTAGATCGCAGCAGCCAGTGTTTTTGCAGTCCCGCTAACACTGTTCTGGCAAAACAAGTGAAACAGAGGAGAGCGGTCAAGAAAGACAGAGGACAGGCGCAGTAGTTTTGCACCGCAGCTATGAGGTTAATGTAGCTAACAAATAATACAAGCTTACTCCACCAATTAGCTTCCCTCAAACTGTGCTGAGTTGGTCAGATTCTCAAATAGACTTATGTGGTTTTTGTGGCCCAATCCTATTTCCCTCGCCCCTACCAGTCTAGGGGTAGGGTGTCCAATAGAGGGGTAGGGCGAAGTCTTAGAGCTACATGACCCTCCAAACGGAGGTTTATCAGAGACTCCAAACCGAATCTTATGAGAAAAAAAGAAAAACCGGCAAGATGGCTGAGCAAGCGACCAAAGAAACCCACAAATGTGAGAATTTTCTCCATTTAAAAATACAATAACCACTGTATGATCTTAGTTTAATGTCGTTTCAGTGTATTATGGTCGTTTTCTTTGTAGCAAGCATAAAAAATCGCTAATAACATGCTAATGTCTCGGTAGCTAGCTAGCTAATTTTCACGTTCCACCTTAAGTAGTCCAGCAGTTCTGACACCTGAAGCGCCAGAATGTAACTGCTGCACCATTTAAGGTGGAACGGGGAAATTCGAATGAGAAGCTGGTGCTTCATATCACTGAAGAATTAGCGGTGAGCGATAATAAATATTTGTCTTATACCCCCTCTTTGAAAGCATATGATGCCCTAAATGTGGGAGGAGCTGAATATTTCCCTTCTCTGCTGTCCAAAAGTATCCAGACAGCCCTTCTAATGAGTGAATTCAGCTACTTTAATGTTGCTGCATCTCCACAGAAAACCATTGACCGATAGAATAGGACTTTCTTGAACCTGTTCTCTGGAGTGATGGAGCTCCATTCAATACCTTTGGGATGAGCTGGAGTGATCCAGAACTGACCATCCAACATCAGTACCTGACCTCACTAATGGTCTTGTGGCTGAATGCAATCAGATTCTCACAGCAGTATGCCAACATCTAGCGCAAAGTCTTCCGAGAAGAGTTGAGGCTGTTACTGCTGCAAACACCCTGTTAGTACCCTTCATTTCAGAAGAAGCGTTGGACGAGCAGATGTCTACAGAGTTTTTAATAGCTTAAAACAATAGTAGCAGAATTTTCATACTTTTCATGGATGTTCTTTTTTCCATGTGATGATCATGGCAATGATTTAGACATACAGTTTAGCACAACACTGATTCATGGGGTAGGCCTACCAGCTTCCACGTTAGCTACATTAACCATGTAGATGTCTAAAGCAAACGCTGGACATGTCTTGGCTGAATGAATACATTTAGGATAAGGGGACATTTGTATGAATGTGATTTTTAGCCAAACTATTCATTTAGGGGTTGCTTTCCCAGATAGGGTTTAAGCCTAATCCTGGACTACAGATTCCTTTTAATGAAGAAACTCCATTCAGAATGCTGTGTAGTCCAGGACTAGACCTATCCCCTGTCCAGGAAGCCGACCTTAAGACTTTTAATGTGGGAGAAGATGAGGGTATCACAAGTTGTCACCCCCTCCGATAGATTCATCTGTAAAGTGCTTTCCATTAAATTCTTTTTCAAGTATAATTCCGTCAATGTTTCAAGATTTCTGCATAATTAAATAGTTAAAAAGTCATTCAGGGTGGTTTGATGTGAAATACTGTTCCAGAGAAACTTACCAAGCCTGAATTGTTCACAGTGGTGGTCATAGGAACCAGACGTCTGAAGAGCTTAATGCCTCTAAAATCTCCCTCACAAAAAGCTGTTACATGAAATGGATATGAAACTTTTTCTTATGCTTTATGATACTTTAAAACATATTGTTTAAAATCCATTCATCCGGTGAGGCACGTGCACAACGTTTTAAGGCAATATTGTTCCTAAAGAGACCAATTTTCCAGAATTCTCACTATTGTACCATCATTAACATTACATATGAAAATGAGAAGACGCTGAGTTAAGCTCACTGGTGGTTTTGGATAGTAAATAAAATGGCTATTTTTGTGTTGTAGTCATGGCGACCCTTTGTTCCCATCACCACCACTATAAAGAAGTCTGACTGTTTTTCTACAGTGTACCATATCACATCAAAACGGTCGGAATGACTTTGGCTACGTTCACATTACCTGGTTGAAGTGGCACAAATCTGATTTTTTGCCCTAATGTGACTCAGATCTGATGTTTTCAGGGCTGTGTGGGCACACAAATCTGATCTTTTCAAATCTGACCTGAGCCACTTTCACATGTGGTCCTAGATCTGATACGTATCCGATTCGTGGCCATGTGACCTTAATGTGACGCTCAGATCGGAATTCATCTGCTTTTTTTCCACTGCGTGTGCACCATCATTCAGCGTTACCATGGCAGCAGCGCCGAACAGAAGTTAAAGCCTGTAAACGGTGGAAAAGCAGCACGTCTCACCTTTTTCTCCTTCGTCTCGCTCTAATAATGAAGCTGAGAGCTGATCAGAGTTAATGATCTTCTCAGCGAAGCTCGTTCTGCTCATTAGTTAGTGCTGATGATGCACGTGATTCATTCACGTGACCTTACTGAGTAGGATGTGCGCATGCGGGTCATTTCAGGGCGCCGGTTCGTTCACATTAATGACAGATTTGAACCACTTACCTAAACAAGTGTGAACCATCCTGTCAGAGAGATCGGATCTGAGCAAAAAATCAGATTTGAGCAGTGAGGCTTGTAATGTGAACGTAGCCATTGTTTACACATCAATGACTGAATTATGCAGAAATTTTGAAAAATCTATGGAATTCCCTTATAATGGTTATCACACTCAGAGCGATTCAAAAGAGGGGTGTTGTGTTTTCTCGAGTAAACTCCAGTGTAAATAGCACTCCCGTCATGCGAGAGGGTACGGTTGACGGAAATCCCTTTAAAGCGTTGTCGTTGAATGTACATTGTCTAGTCTGTTGCCTTGTCTGGCATAAGCAGTACCACACATACACCTCGTAGTGCTCGGGAGGGGAGAGGAGCCGTCGTTCTATACACGAACCACAATGAAACACGGTGTAGCCAAGGACTCGGGAGATTTTTTTATAAGTGCCTGAAATAACTCGCCTTTCAATTTCCCATTCTCATGTCAGCCACGCGTCATTCCACTTTGAACGTGTTATTCTCGGCTAATTTGTGCGCGCCCTGCCTTAGGGATGCTCTCTCCTTTCCAACACAAAGACCAAGAGATTAGGAGAAAGGCCGAAGTAAACTCCAGAACTCTTTTTTTGTTGTCAGAGCGGCATGTAGAGCTGATGACTTCGCCTTTATTCAGGTTGTGCAGTAGCGAGAAAGAAAAGCGTGGAATTAAATTGCAGTGTGATTATTTTCTTCCACTCCTGTTTACAGTTTTTCATCTCACCGTGTTTTTTTTTCCAACCCAAAGTACATCAAAGTGTCTTCTGTTCTAAAAAAGTAACTGATTTTGAAGACCTACCACTGAATACCACTGATGGTACATCACATTGTAAGCGCATGTAGAGGAGAAAATGAAAATAAAAGAGGCACTGACTCTGGCTATGGTGCAAATGGTCTCACGTTCATCTTGTCCTTCATTTGTGAGGTATAATGTCTTAAAACAAGGGGGCTAAACCATGTTTTTACCAAATGCAACACTTCACACTAATGAGGCGGTTTAAATTGATGTGTTATGTGTGTTTTTATTTATTTATTTTTTTATTGTACTTTGATGATGTATTTCTATCCATACAGTTTCAGCCAAAACTTCATATTTATTTATGTTTATTAACCCTGTGTACAGTCATTCTAATCTAATCTATATTTGGGTCATTCTACAGAAACATCCATTTTTCTATCTCTCCATAGGTGTCACTGTTGTTACCGATCCTCATTGGTGTTACATATAAGAAAGGTAACACCAGAGACATTTTTAATTAAAAATGCATTTTACAAAACGGCTGCTACAGAGAATCAAACCACATGTTAAAATATCTAGTTTAATCCAATTATATTCTATTTTTTCACAATTATCTAAGAATAAAGCAGGTCATACTAGTGACTTCAGCTAAAAGCTTCATATGAAATCATGAGCATGATAGGTAAATAGGAAGTCATGTGATGTCATCAGTGTGATTTTATATATATATATATATATATATATGTGTGTGTGTGTGTGTGTGTGTGTGTGTAAATCTTCAAAAATATTTTTGTTATGCAGTAATACCAGTGACACGACTCCTCGGGACCACAACTTTCATTAAATAATTAATAATATTTATTTGCATTTGTTTTCTTTATGTCATTTAAATCATATATTTCATAGTCATGTATAGATTATTGCAGTTGAAATTGTAGAAAAACATGTTTTTACCTCTAAATATGGCACTGACCCTTTACACATGACTGTGAGGACGAGCTCTTCTGTGGTGCTTGGAATTTTATATGATTGACTTGAAAATCAATATTGCTAAATTGAGGCCTCAATGGTTAAAATAACTTCTTGTTTTATTTTAAAATATAAATAAATTGTAACCCTAACATTTTTAAGTGTAATATATCTGTAAACGCTAGCGACACAAAACTCAACGTTTCTGTAGAATAACCCATATACAGTAGAAATGACTGTACATAATTATAGGCTATATAAACAAAACATCACCAACTAATGAACTCCACGCATACAGACTGAATGCCACGTGAAACGACTATAACGTAGGTTATCCAGTCTGGTGCAGAATGCTGGGCAATATGCAAGTTAAACAAAGACACTTCCATGAGATCTGCTTTCCGGTAGAGAGTGAAATGGACGGGCTTGTTCAGAAGGAGGGTGCCAGCGGCACCAGATTGGCAGTATTTTCCTTTATATATTTCCATCCAAACAAACACAGAGAGCCACAGGACGTTAACAGTGTTGCATGCCGTCTGTGCAGAATACATTTGTCATCATAAATGATTAAGTAATATTAGAAAATAGCCCAGATGGTAATTATTATGTGGTAAGTATAAAACCATCAGGGAAAATGCAAGTGAAGCAGAGAAACCAGGGATCAGTTCTCTGGACATT